TTCTGGAAACAAGAAGCCAAAGAAGCTCAATATTACAGTTATTAGAGACGAGACTGTGCCACAACAAACGGGAGGAGCTAGAGGAGATTGTGGTCCTCTCGTATGCTTGGCGTTGGAGCGTTTGACGATGGGAAGCACCAAGTATCTACCTCCCACCGATAGAGATAGAGCTGCAGTAGGCTTGTGGTTTCGGCATTATATGGCTAAATCGATATATACGAGACGCTGCCTACCTGCATCCGCGTTATAAAAATGTCCATAAACAATTGGTAAGTTTATAGACTTTTGGTTTGAAAATGTTTGGTTAAGTACCTAGAATAGAATAATTTGTTGTTTGTAGGTTTTAGATGTGTAGAAAGTGTTGTTTGAGCAAATGTTTGGTTTCTGCAGGTTAATCTCAGAAGTGAACTGCGTGAAAATGATGTATGGCTGCAAAAGTTGATTCAATAGTTTAATTGATTGTTTTTTGATTGTTTAATTGATTTGTAAAAGTTGATTCAATAGTAGATGATTGGAAATAAGAATTATTGCTTATTTTTTGATTGTTTAATTGATTTGTAAAAGATGATTTGTAAAAGTTGATTTGTGTAATTGATGCGAACATAATTCTTATTTGTGCTTGTTTAATTGATTGAAATGTAATTGTTGATTTTGTTGATTTCAATCTGCATTATGTTGAAATGAAAATCGCAATGCGAAATGAAAATCGCAACGAGAGAATCGCAATGCGAAATAAAAATCGCAATGCGGAAATGAAAATCGCAACGAGAGAATCGCAATGCGATTTTCATTTCGCATTGCGATTTTCATTTCCGCATTGCGATTCTCTCATTGCGATTTTCATTTCGCATTGCGATTTTCATTTCGCATTGCGATTCTCTCGTTGCGATTTTCATTTCGCATTGCGATTTTCATTTCCGCATTGTGATTCTCTCGTTGCGATTTTCATTTCGCATTGCGATTTTCATTTCCGCATTGCGATTTTCTTGTTGGGATTTTCATTTCGCATTGCGATTCTCTCGTTGCGATTGTAATTTCCGTGTTGCGATAGTCAAATGCATGCCTAATAAGTGATAACAACTGAATAACAAGAGTTGGTTAAGTCAAAATGGTTGGCCTGAGTCATTAATTCAACTGAAAATGTTAAAAGTTCACACATAAAATCCACATAATACAACGTTTGCATTTAAAAATCACCTAAGTTAACAGTCCCAAAAGGTGAAGCCAATTGTGATTGGGATTTTAAAGATGATTGCCTTTTGCTTGACACCATATGAGCTTTGGATTTTGATGAGGATCCATATTTTGGTAGAGGAAAAGATGATTTTGATGGCACTGGTGATCCACATGTCAACCTTGTATGACCACTTTCCTTGCACCGACTACATGTCGATCTCTTCTTCTCTTCACCCTTAGACAGTATACGATCGTGACTTTTTGGTCGGCCAGGTAGCCTTCTGTCCATGGCTGGTGGCAAAACTGTTTGTAAGTCATCTGGTATGTTCCACTCAGAAGGATGTGGAATAGGGTAGACAATCTCGGCATAAGTCTGTCGATAAACTTCTGTAGTGTAGCAATCCATAGCGTATGCGCTTGAATCATCTTGGTTTAAATGAAGAGCAACTTTTATAACATGGCCACACGGATAACCAGATGTTTGCCATTTCATACAACTACACGTCTTTGCATTTAGATCGACTAGCCCATTTAAGTTATTATCCAGTACTTGAAACAAAGTGTTTGAACATGGTTCAACTCTCCATGACGTTGACTTCACAACACGTTTCGTTATCTTTTTTTCAGTCCATGGTGTAACACGATGTTCCAATGTTCCTGTAAATTTAAATAAACAATACTTAGTAAATATATAAATATGATAAGTTACGAATTCAAAGAAATAATACCTGCATGGTTTCTTTTCTTGTAGTACCACTGTTGAATAGAGGCTCGAAAAAACTTCATTAACATAGTATGGGTAATTTCCGGGAATGACGACTTAGAGCGTTGATTGATTCTGCACTATTAGACGTCATGAAACCATATCTTGCTCCAAGTTGATGTACTCTTGACCATCTTTCAAACCCGACATCTTCTAGTGTTTGAGCACACTGAGGCAAAACACGTCTTAAACAATTTATATGCTTATTGAAATCCACTTCCCGATAAGCTTTTACAGCCTTCCAGTATGTCCATTTGTGCTTTTTTATACCAGCAGACCTTGATTTTAGATTTCTATACAAATGAACACCACAAAGTCCATGAAAAGCATCTGGGAAACACCTTCTAACAGCGTTGTCAATTGAGTTTGCCCTATCGGATATGATTGTCAGATTGCTAATAGGACCTATGCAATCCCTAAGATGCCCCATAAACCATGTCCATGAATCAGAGGTTTCAGATTTGCCAACCCCGTAAGCTATTGGCAATATCCCATTGTTAGCATCCATGGCTACTGCTAATAAGTTTACTCCAAGGTATCGACCTTTCAAATGTGCTCCGTCAACTATAATAACTGGGCGCATGCAAGTAATAAACGAACGAATCTACAAAATAATATACACAAGAAATATAATCATTTAAATGTGAAATGCATGTAACTAACAAAATGAGTCAACAAAATTATATTGATTTACTAACCGTAGCACCAATGGCGATAAACAGCAACTCAAAGCGTCCATCTCTATCTGTTTTGATATGAGTTACCGACCCAGGGTTTTTCAGCTTTAAATTGTGACAATAAGCCGACAGTTGGGCAAACGATGCTTCTGGCGACCCCCTCAACAATTCCAAGGCATAAAATTTGGCTCTCCAAGCTTAAGAATATGATATACTAATCTTGAACCGAGCATTCATGTCAGTCATAATTTCATGTCCCCGATATACCCTGCCATTCAAAAACATTAACTCAGCCAGAAAACCACCCAACACCTTTTTGTTTGCCTGTCTATGGTGAGGAAAAACTTGGGTTCTTGAACATGTATGTTTATCAATAAAAGTCCTAACTTGAAACATTTCGCAATCTTTTATTCTCTTTGCAATCATACGCCACGTACAGTTTTTGCCAATCATACACCTTGTTTCGAAACGATCTTTGCTTGATTTGTTAACTTTTAGTTGATAGCCATCTTCCACACATTTCGTATACAAAGCTATCTTCAAGTCTTCCTTTGTATCAAAACAATCATCTTTCTTGATACGAATAACTTTTGTAACAATCAACTGCTTTCTTTACCAACTCTTCTTCCGGTATCTGAAGTAATTCTGGCATATTCCAGTTATACGCCCGTGGCATTTTCTTTTCTTCGGGGACTTTTTCTTCTTCTTTTTCTTCTTCAGGATTATATGAATTACAGAATGGATGTTCAACATGTTCATTCACAGTCGTAACTTCCTCCTCATTATCATCAACAATACATTCTTCGGCAACGGCTGTTTCTTCATCAAAATTCGGGTATTGACCAATATCAAAATCATTACACGCAGGGTCTGTTTCTTCTTCTGAAACATCATCAAAATCCGTGTATTGACCAATATCAAAGTCCGGATATTGACCAAGACCAAATTTCGAATACTGACTAGTACTCACAATTTTTTCTGTTGGCTCATTATCGTCTAACTGGTCAATACGAAAACCGGAATTTGGTGCTGAAAGTTGATTGAGATTTGGATTAGAGAAAGGTTGTGGGTTTTGAGAAAAACTTAGTTGATTACTACCCGCTACTGACCCAACAATACTACTTCTAGGTTCAACAACATACAATGTAACATCATCTTGTGAAACACTAATGTAAGCAATGAATCGTTCAACATCTTCATTGTCGGTTAACAAATAAACTTTACCATTTCTCTGATAAGATAGCCTAAATCCACTTAGGGGCTCTAAATTCAATTTATTTGAAACACGTAGCATTAGAGTTTCATAACTTAACTTTTGTAAAGACAATTTTAGTTGAAGATTCATGGGTAAAGGCATATATTGTAAAACACCATGAACATTATCCCATGACCCTCCAAAACACAAATCTATCCAAACATGATCAACATTAGATGATTTCATGGTTGTAAATTAATTTACTAAACAGACGAGCTGCGAAACTAAAACCTGTTGCCGGATTGGGAAGGATGTCGTTGGATATAGGAACGGATGTCGCCGGAGAGAGTGATAGATGGAGATGGAATGAGTTGCGATTTAGGGATTTAGTTTATGATTTGCTGCTGTTGCGTAGTTATATACCCAAAATTTCAGTGTTGTGATTTACAGATTCTCGTTGCGATTTACGGATTATCGTTGCGATTTACAGATTCTCGTTGCGATTTACGGATTATCGTTGCGATTTACGGATACGCGTTGCGATATACGGATACGCATTGCGATTTACGGATACGCATTGCGATTTACGGATACGCGTTGCGGTTTACGGATACGCGTTGCGATTTATGTGTTCGCGTTGCGATTTTCATATTCGCGTTGCGATTCTTGAAAATCGCAATGCGAATTTGTACTATCGCATTGCGATTTTCAAGAATCGCGTTGCGATTTTGGAAACTGATTTGCGATTCTGGGGATCGCGTTGCGATTTTTATTTCGCGTTGCGATTTTGTTGGTCATTTTGGCAAATCCAAAAAAAGTTGGTTAAAATCGTATATTATAAGGCATTTTTAGTCACTGAGGCGATTTTCTCTTAAAGAAATAATAATGAGGAACTAAATCGTAAAAATAGTTAAAATATTTGGTCAGTTTTTTTTTGTTTTTCGGGTAACTCGAAATTCCAAAATTTTAACTCGAACCGAAAACCGAATTTATAATTCGAGTTGACTCGAATAATTCAAAATTTAAAAAAATCGATTTTTTAGTCGAGTCCAGATTTAGTCACCCTATGTATAATACTAATTCTGAACAAAAGCATTTGTACTGAAGTAATTATCATCTATGAATGCAATCTTTGTCTATGGTTTTAATCATCACTAACGAATAAAAGAATCAACCAAACAAATGGTACCTGGAAAATTGGTAGCGTAGGTGCGTTCAGATCGGAGCGTAAATCATTGAAAAATGTCTTCAATCTAGCCTCATACAAATCAGCATCTTCTTGACTGAGCGTATCAGCCTCACCTTGATACCAAAGTATTGCTCTGTAAACTCCACTCTGCTGCGCCATCTGAGCTCTCTTCACCAACTGCTCATAAAGCAACTCCCCTTTCTGCCATTGGTTTATCGATGTCCCTCCGACGGCACATGGCACCAACCCTATCGGCCCAAAGTTGAAATCCTTAGTCAATACCGCATTGGCAAAAGACATTCCAGGTCCAATCCCGTCTGTCATCCTGGCATCAATGTCAGCATGGATCGGCTCACGGGCTGGAACCCAAGCCAGGTCCGCGCTCAGCCTGAAGATTGAAGGGTTAGGTTGGCACTGTGTTGGAACAACACCGTCCCATTTCCAGGTACCCGTCGAAATGTCATAGGTCACACCTCCACGGCCGGCCATGTTGCTTTGTCCGGCCAGGATAATTATGTTTAAGTTACGATGAAGTAGATTTTGACATTGCATATGCGAGGCATGAACCAGAATAGCCAAGACAATGAAAGAAAACATAGAGACTTTGCGGCAAAAAGGATGTTGAGCTTTCTACCTCTCAGTCCTTCTATCACACAGGAAGCAGGGCCATGTTCAAAGCAAAGATGTTTGGTTGCTGTTTTTCTTGTCTTTTGCTCTCATATTCTCTATATATGTGTGATTTTCATTTTCTTACAACGGCTTCAAAATAGCATTTCGTTTTCATATGCCAATGATATTTCACCAGCTACAGATCTGATTTATGTTTGTCTTCATGCTAATAAGAATCAAACGCTAGGTCTTGAGTTTAATGACACTGACAGACGACCCATAGCTTTATATATATATAAGATAGGTTGAAACTACTCTATCAAATTTTTTTGAAAATGTAGTAGTTGACCTAAGAGGCCATGCCACTCATCACTTTTCCTTTTTCTTTAAATGGAATTTTAAATCCCAAAGTACCAACATCACTCATCTTTTACACCGAATTAATGGAGGCATGGTTGGTGAGTTCGTCTAAGCGTGCTGATCTGATATCATGCTCTAATTTAAGAAATTAAAATTTAATTATTTTTTACCTCATATTAAATGAGTCAGTAAAGGCCCATTACGAGAAATTTTAAAAGATCTGCATAACCCTAATCTGCATGATCCAGAATCATGCGTGATAGTTTCTGTATCAGAGATAAGGTTAAATGTGATGTTTCTTTCGTAAGCATTGAACCCAACTAAACTCTTCTGCCTTACCACAGTTCCGAATAAGAACTCAGCTCTATTAAACGGCCTCAAATTCAATCAACATGACGTTGAGAGAATCGTAAATGTTGCAGGGAAGTCGAGTAGCGTAACGTGAAGAACGGTGGATAAACTTTGTAAAACAAATCTTGCAGACATTAACAAGCATACGATGACGATCCAACCTTTCTTGAAGAACCACCCTAGCATGAAATTTTGGTATCCAACAAACCACAAGTAACCCATCTTTGTCGAAACTGTAAATATTGGCTCAAATGGGACACCCCCATCTCTCATCCGGAGACGCAAAATCATTCAAATCCCCGCCACTGTCCAAGGCTAACAAATCGTTGAATCAAAACCAGTATGAAATAACAATCAAGGTAAAACAATCCTAAAATAAAGAATTCCAAGGTTTATAGGAAAACATTCCAAAAATATATAACTTCTTATTAGAATTTATAAAAAAAAATCTATTTTTTTTAATTTTTTTATGAAATGATTGAGAAAAATTAAATAAAAAATCATTTAAAATATCGATAAACCATTTTTTATGGGTAATATATGTTATGTCAAAATATTAATTTAAATTTTCTGTTAGAATTATTTAGGGTTATCACTTTCAATATTTTATTTTAGTAACAAAAAATTGAACAATTTAATTTGATTAAATTAAAATTTATAATTTATAATTTGAATAAAAATTAAATTCAATGATTTGCTATGGTCGGGGGCTGCATATTCTTTTCTTTATGTTCCGTTGAATGATGGCATAGCACAATCATAATATCATGGCATATTCTTTTCTATCCTCATCTCGTTAAATTGATGATGTGATAATATTAAAATTTTTAATATTTAGTTTTATCCTTAAAATATCAAATAGGTTCCTAAACAATATTTTTTATATTTAATTTATTCCAAAAAATAATTTCTATTTTTTTCAAACAGTCCACCACCTATACTATATTTGAATCACCCTAATTTGCTCAGGTTAACAGAGTAAACACAAAAGCATCATTTTGATTCACTCATTTCTTTGATAAACAAACAAACACACATGGCTGCAATATTGAGTTCTCAAGGATGGTGTTCGCCAATGTCATGGCAATCTCTGGACCTGTAATTCTTTTCATGATTCTATTCCAAAAATATTTCCCTCTCGATCAAATCCATCAACTTTCTCAACAAACGAGTGCATGGACTCTAATTTGGGTCGAGTGAGAAGAGTATTTCGTACCATAGATTTAGAGTAGGTTTGTAATACCTAAATTCAACGGATTCGAGTGTCACACGGAATCACAGAAGTGCCTAACCTTTAATAATTGAATATTTTTTGGAACTGAATATTTTTTGGACCGTTATATGATTGAATAATTTTCCAAATATTGTGACTGATGATAACGTTAATTTTCTTGCCCCGTCAATTTTCACCTTGCACCATCCCACCGACGAGGCCTCCTATCCCGGGAGAATATGAATATTAAGAATTATTAATATATTTTAAAATTAACAATATATTAAACTTGGGTCTAATTAAGTTAAAATAAACAAAGAATAAGCGACAAGAAGGATCAAACTTAGGTGTTTCTGTAAACGAATCGAACGAATACGAATGAATGTATGTTTATGTACGTTCTTTTAACTTTAACCGAATAAATCAACGAACACGAATTAATAAACTAACAAAAATTTTTGTTCATGTTCGTTCATTTAAAAATTTAGCTTGTTCGTGTTCGTTCGTTAAAATAATAAGCGAACGTAAATGAACACAAGCGAACGAATATAAATGAAAATAAAATTAATTGGGTTTATATTTGAGAAGAATTTTTTTTATTTCCAAATAATTTTATGGTTTTAAAGCGACATTTACGTTCTTACTTTTCAACATGCCTATCACAGAGGAAACTTATGTGTAGTTATCCTTTCAAAAATGGGTTGCTCTTTGGACGAAGAACTTGTAATTTTCGATTCTCTACCGGTAGAAATCTCGTCGTTTTTGGACGCTGACTATAGAGGAATCTCTTTCACTAAAGGATTCATTGTGAGCTAGTATTTTTTAACGTTTTTCCTTTATAACAAAAAATAAATAAATTTGTATTTATTTTATATAATATTAGATTTCATCACATACACTATATAAGTTAATAAAAGTAATGACGAATTATACTAAATATCACTAAACTTTAGGGATATATCAATTTTATTAGTGAACTTTAAACACTTGGATGCTAACATGGTAGTGATATAAGTTAATAAATTTAATGACTTCAATTAATATAACACTGAATCTTTAACTCATTAACATCCTATTGACATTACAGTTGGATGCTCACATGGGAGTGATGTGAAAGCTAAAATTATATATATATTTTTTATTTAACTCATCATTTTCTTCGTCAAAATTTATGTTTTCACTCATTTTTTGTTTTTGCTAAAAATTGTCTCTCGAATGCCTTTTATGACCACTTAGATACTGATCAACTCGTCTCATTATTTATTATCATTTTTCGTTTAATTTTTTTAAAATTTCTTTAAAACTCATGAAAATTAAAAAAGAAACTATTATTTTTTTTTTTGGAGTTTGGGGCTTTCTTGGGTTTAAGAGATTTGGGTGTTTTGTTTGGAAACTTTGATTGTGAAAAATATTGTTTTGAGAAGATGAAGAACATATTTCAAAACTAATCCCATCTTATGGTGGCCAAAGAAGATCGGAGCGTTAGTACGTCTAATCTTTAGATGATTTTACGTCTATTTTGAGTGAATTTCACGAAAAACTTATCTAAAAAGGAAAAAAAAGAGTAAAACAGTGATGTTTTGATACCAAACTTATCATGAGTAACAATAATTGTCAAATGACAGCTATCAACGACCATAAAAATGACATCGTCTTGATTGCATCACGATAACAAAAATTTTATTTATACATATTATGATACCATTAGAATTTTAATGGTCCAATACTTACATTGCAGTAAAACGGAAGTTGAATTTTCTAATCGAATCAATTTAAAGTGTATTAGTAAACTTAGTGGCGGATCTAGGAATATGTTTTAGGGCGGACGCACATACGTTAAGGATATAAAATTTTTGAATTAGGTAAGCATAAATAAAATTTTAGGATGGACATCATCAATAAAATATGTCATAATTGAAGAATTTCATATTTCAGGATAGGCATAATAAATTTTTAGGATGGTCACTATCAATAAAATAAATGATTAATTGAAGAAAATTCAAATATCATGTGGACACGTCCCCATCGACCCTTAATATGCATCCTTCAGTGAGTAAACTCGATACATACGCTATATTTCAATGGTATTTGGTGACGTATATCTTAAAAACATTTGTAATTCAAAAAATATATTTCATAAAAGTTAACAGAAATAATAATAGGAGAAGTGGTAAATAATTGATATTAATTGTTTTATTTAAAGTGTGAATTGCCCGTCCAGCTTAGTTGGTAGAGCGCAAGGCTCTTAACTTTGTGGTCGTGGGATCGAGTCTCACGATAGACAATTCATAATTCTGACTGCCGGGTGGTCTTCCACAGATTCGACTCAAATCGAAAATCAACTTATCAGATATTAACACAATTCGACTAACCTATCTGGTTTTAACTCGACTCAAAAAGCAATTGATATGATATTGATATAAACCATAAAATAACCGATCTGATAGTCAGTCGACCCGAAAATTGACCCGACACGCTACCTGACTCGACCCGATTTATAATACACCCGAACTAAATTCAAACCGGGCCTAATCTGACCCAAATAAAATTAAACTAAATATAATCTAAATCCGAAATGAGCATACCTAAACCCGATCCGAATGACCCGTTTGCTTTTCTTCTCCAGCGTTCCTTTTTGCTTTTCTTCATTTTTTTTTGCTTGAACATGAGCATCACCAATATAACTTTATATAAAATAATCTCTCTTTAGGCTTATAAATTGGGGGAGCAATTGACTATAAATTCATTATCCTCGACTAAGAACACACGAAACTTCTCAAAACAATGACAACGCCAAGCTTAGATTCATCCTCACACAACAACCTTAGCTTTAGCCGTAATTAGTCCTCGTCTTCGTTGGGTTCGACCAATCACAAACCCCACAAAGGAACCATCCTGCTTGGGCACCCATTGTCCAACTTTTATCAGAACACGACCGAGTCGAAATCCAGTTCTTCAAACTCTTGCATCGAGTTGGCGGTGGCGGTATGGGAAATGTATATATCTGTGAGATTAACAACATCGCCATCGAATCCAACCATCATCATCCTCATTGACTCTATGTTATGAAAGTGGTCGATGGGGAAGGCACCTGATTTGATAAGAAAGCTACTGGTGAAAGATCCAAACAAAAGAATGGAGGGAAGTTGGTCGGGGTGCTTTTGAAATCAAGAGGCACGGGTTTTTCAAAGATGTGGATTGGGCTCTAATTAGATCCCTTCAGACTATTTTGATGGCTACAGTCCGTACGTTACACTGTCGTTATTCTTGTGCTCCTCGTCTTGCTCCAAACAAAATCTAATCGAAGACGATCGTTTATCGTTAGATGTGGGGCGGCAGGAGGGAGAGGGATGACAGGGGAAGAGGTTTTTTTTTTAATTTTTTTTAAAAAAATAATATTGTTATTATTAAAAAATTAAAAATATAAAAGTAGACACCTAAAAATGTAACAGAGAAAATATTAGACAATTAATTTTAACAAAAATTGTTTAGTTACCAAATCGTATTTCAAAATATAATTTAAGTAATTATTTTCATATTAATCCAAAAAGGAACTCCGAGAAGAAGGGTTTTATGATAAAAAAAAGAGACTATTTTACCGTGAATTGAAAAAATAAGTCTTTTTTAGTTTATAAATTTTAATTAAATCTAAATTATTTATTTATTTATTTAAATTTAACCATTATAAAATAATATAAAATTTATTAGTTTTACATAGTCTAAATAAATCTTATCCCTGTATATATAAATCTTATACAAAAGTTGAGGCACAAACAAGTGCGTAAGCGTAATAGTAGCCTTAAATTTTGGAAGTCAAATATATGGACCGATATGAACTGAAGAAATACAATTCAGGCACAAATATAATACACAACCTTCCTCTAATATTTTGAGTGGCTGATTAAGAATTGATGCATGTTCCATGGATTAGGACCGGCTGTCTGGTCAATGGATTCAAAAGATGGTATCCAAAAGGGAAACGAACACAAGCCTTCAAGTCAAACAACAATGACAAGCACAAAAGCTCCTACAAATATATAGATATAAACTGTTCTTAAAAAGGCAATCCAATTACAGACAAACAACACATGTTTCAGTAACCTCTTTTCTAAGCCAAAAGAAAAGCATTGATGTAAGGTGGAAGAAACTTTCAACCACTTATTGGTGTATTGTACAAACGGTCTGGAAGAAGTGTCTGCATTTAGTTATCATGTTTACTGGTGCTCGTTTCAACATCTTCTACAACATGGTCAATGGAGAGAAATAAGGCATTCTGATTCTTCTGCAAGAACCTGCAATGACAAGACACCGTCATCCATATCAGCACTCAGCAGAGATTGATGATAATAAACTATCACCTTCCCAGAAGCAATATAAACATATTTAATGGGGTTTTGCAAGAATAATGTGCCTTACAAAAGGCATAATTGGGGGATCCGGGGGGAAGGGGGGACTAAGGTGAGGGATAGAGTTCGCACTTGAGGAAGTCAACTAAATTTTGCTGCAACTCCAATAACGTCTTCTGCTCAATGTCTGTACGCATCAATAACTCGGGCAATTTCACTGCAAATGAAAGAACAGTACATCAGAAGAATGAACTTCATAATAAAAAAATCCATCACATGGAAAATTCGTTAGTCTAGGGAGTAGCCTTAATCAAACATTTAATGAGTATATCAGGAATGAGCTGCAATAATTGCAACAAACATGCATACCACGTATAGACATAGCAAAAGATTACATGATTTCCGAGTTTGGACTCGAACTACAAAAAGGATTATCAGAGTAGGCAAAGATTTCTGAATTAGCAAGCAGAATTCCTCCCTATATGTACTATTAGAGAGCAAGCAAGGTACTTATTTTTTTTTTCAAGTTAATCAAATTTGTCTACTGCGATGGGATAAACATACCAAAGAGACGCAGCAGATGTTCAGCCCCATATACGATGGATGGACAGAGATCCTCTGTAAAAATACAACGATACTGCTTACGCTCACTTTTGTACAAAAGTATCACAGGTAAAGCTTTGTTGAAGTAAGCACATATCTCTTTAAAGATTTCTCTTACTGAATCGGATACCCTACATGCATAACATGTTCATGTCAACTATTAGAAAACTAAAAACATAGGGCCAAGAATATGGAAATGGAGCTTGGTAAAATAATTATTTATCAAACTTCGAAGGCATTAACTAGGATTGAAGATTTGAGGCACTTTCACTCACAACTAACTTACAAGTGGATACTTCTGCTGTTATTGTTCTTCCATTAGAAACTAAAAACTAGCAAACCTAGTATAAACTGTACATAAGTGCAAAGAATTCTGTGTCAATAATCCTACTAGGTTGTTTTTCTTGCATCTTTCACGACATCAGCAATTCAAGGTACATTCTAATAGCATCATGCAGGTCTTTTGGACCATCAGGTCTTTAACAGTTGCTTGACAATAAGTGGTGCCAATGAATTAAATAAAGCTGGTTCTTCATCTAGCTTACCATTACAGGAGCTGGCCATGCTGAAAGGAGATGAATGCTGCAAGTTATAACAATGAGAAAAAAAGGAGGGAACAAACTTACGTGTTATCCTTCTTATATCTGTAATCAATATACATCTTCAATATGTCTTCCACATTTGGAGTACGCGGAAGTGCAAAAAGCTGTAAGATAAGATATAAATCAATTCTGATGATTGACATTGACAGGGAAGTCTTAAAATGAAACAGAAGGAATAATGCTTGCAAATCCAAACCTGAGGATATACCTACCTTTCCCAAATGAGTAATAAATTCACAATCGTTAATTAGTTGCTTCTTCAGAGTGAGCGGAATTCGAATGTTCACAAGCTTTTCTGAACTATCTGAAAGTACATTCTGCTTATCCTAACAGTTCAGAACAGTTTAGCAATCAATTATCAATTAGACTAAATTAAACATGAAATCTATATAATGGAAGTTCAAGATTCTTACTCTTTAGGCTTAAATCAAGGATGTCTTTAGCTTTTTTTAACTAGTAACATATGTTTACAATGAATACAAATAAACTAAATTTCTAACCAAAATAACCAATAAGCATTGAAAATGCTAAGGCAATCATATCCAACAACAATGGGGAATAAACACCTTGCAAATATAATCACTGTTTTGCTTTTTGCCCCTACTACCTGCAAGATAAACATATCTTAATTCTTGAACCCTCCTTTTTCATATTTTTTGGCAAATAAAAGAACACTAAAATTAACCTTTGGGATGCCTCATGGACACGAGCGATGTTCCTCTCTTTGAAGTTCGAAATTCACCCTTCTTTTCTTCCTTCAGTTTCTTGTTAAGTGCTTCCTGTTTTTGCAGATTCTCTTCTGTAAATTTCATTAACCTATCCACACCTACCCATTCATCCCAGCTGTGAAAACCAAAAATAGCATCAAGAATTCAATTTTCCATGAAAATATACATATAATTTGAAAGAGAAGAGGAGTTACTTCTTTTTCCACCCCTGTAAAACAAACAAGCAAATTGATTAATAAAGAATTAAATTTCAACCAATTTTATGGGGAAATAAGAAAAAGAGAGATTAAATGGAATTTTTTTATACTTACAAGATAATGAACGAAATAATGCCAGCCGTTGCTCCTTTTTTCGCATTTTAGAACCTGGCAAGTAAAGCGATGAGTGAAGTGGGTTTTAAGGAGAATAGGAAGGAAAAAGCTTAAAATTTTCCTTTGATTTAGTTACTTTAGCCAAGTATATGAAGCGGCTATGGTAAGCGAGGACTTTCTCGTCTTCTCTGAAAAGAAAGGTATCGTAACGTTTACAGAATTCCTCGTCAGTTTCAGTAGCGGAATCGGAATCGGAGTCGGTCTTGGTGACGGTGGCGGAATCGTCGTCGGTCAAGGCAGCGTTTGAACTTCCCATTTTTGAGAGTGGGAAGGGATTTCGGTTCGAGGGCTTCAGTTATCGAAGTTTTAGTTTATCGGTTGGCGGAATCCTTTTTCTCTTGATCGGTTTTTTCACTGTGAACTATAAAAGGTCGGTGAGGGGGCACAGAGGTAAATTCGCAAGGAGGGATTTTCTATGGGTAAATTACGTAATTCCTCACTGAACTTTACTCTCTCTAAATTCACTCGCTGTACTTTCACGTTTTTCAGTTTACTCAATAAACGTTTGAATTGCTCTTCTTTTGGTCACTCTGATTATTTTACTTTTATTTTGGTATGATGTGGAATTTTTTTATTATTAAAATATAAAAACAATTTAAATAAATAATAAAATAATATTTTTATTATTAGATTTAAAAAATATTTAAAATAATCACCGTCCACCGTCGACCTTCGGAATTGATAGTCGTTCGATCCTAAATATCATGAGTCACTTTGCCCATCCCCTTGAGTATGAATCTAATGGTTCTTTCACCGAAATATCTCAAAGCCCGTGAATCTCGATTGAAATATTTCAGTTTTCCTCACTTTTAATATCCTATTCGTGAATTTCGGAGCATGTTCTAACAAAATTGAGGTTAGATTCGGAATTAAGGGGTCAAGTCTAAGTAACCCATGAAATCTAAGATCGAATGACCACCATTTGTGGCGGTTGACGGCATGTGGCATTTTGGTTTTCTTCTTTTTAAGCGGATTTGAAGCATGTTTTGATAAAATAGAGGTCAGATTCGGATTGAGGGATCGAGACAATTGCGTCCAACGTCGTCGAGCAATGGACAACCACCTTTTATTTTTATTTTTATTTTAAACAACAATGAAAATTGAAAGTTTAGTGAGTGAACAAAACAAGAATAATTCAAAAATTCTGTGAGTAAATTGAAAAAAAAATACAGTGAATGAAATAGAATGGAAAGTAAAGTTCAGTAAGAAATAGTGTATTTTACCATTTTTTTCTATTTTCAAAAAATGGCATTAATTTGTTGGTCATTATTGGAGGTGGGTATACAGACTACCTGCCCGTTTAGTCCGCGGGTTTTGACGATGCATGCTTAAACGGAGCGATTTAAAAAGCACGCAATCATAATCGGTTTTGAATTTTAAGGTCCGTCCGTTTAACCCGCGGGTTAAACAGGCTTACCCGCGGCCCGTTAAATAAAAATAATTTTAAATGTTTTAAATACAATAAAAAATAATGTTCTAACTTACTACACCTTTAAAAATGATCTAGTAACTTGAAAAAGAAGGTAGCACCGTCAAAAATAATAAATAATATTTAAATTTTATTTTAAATAGCAGAAAATGATTATAAAATAATATTTTTTAATTTTTTTAATCATTAATATATATAACGATATAATTACTTAAACTCAAATTAAAAAAAAAACAATATTAACTTATATCACCTAATTGAAAAATAAATAAAACAATAACCACATTATACTTTTATAAAACACTATTATTTAAGGCTATAATATGAAGACACATAAGTGTCTGCAAGCAGAAATTCAAACAAAAAATTCAACAAAGTCAAAAATTATACAAATCAAACAAATTTTCTTTTGTAAAAACCTTTAAAAGTTGAAAAAGTATGTTTTCAATTTTTTTTCTTTTACTTTTCTTTCTTATTTTTAATCCAAATTGTTGAAAACATTTTTTTGTTTCGATATAACAAATTAAGTTTAAATGAATTTTAAGATTTTACAAATGATTTTCTAAGTATATTCGATTTAATTAATCGAATATCAAATTATTACTCCAAGTCTTTCAAGTTCAAATTCAAACCTTACTAAATGTGTAAAATTGTGTTTTATACTTAATATATTTTTGAAATAATTTTCACAAAGTATTTTGAACCAAAATCAAGCCTAAAATCAATTTTTCATAGTGATGCACCGATGCACCAATCCATGCATCGATGCACCATGAATTAAATTGAACATCGAATGCATTTCATGCATCGATGCACTGAGGATTTTTATGAAAACATCGAATGCATTTGATGCATCGATGCACCAGCCATGCATCGATGCACTCTGGCTATTTTGAAACATCGAATGCACTCTTAGTGCACCGATGCACTGAGAGTCCAACGGTCAAAATAATTGAATTTTACACTGATGCACCTATGGTATGCATCGATGCACTAACGCTCCCATCCACTTTCATTAATTGTTTTCACACTTAAATGGCTCTATTGACTCCACTAATCATCCCCAACGTTCATAATCAATTGAAGGTGTATTTAAACAAGCTTAGAAGTCATTGATCAATAACAAGAAACAAGTATCAACAAGAATCAAGAGAGAATCAAAGAGAAAGCATCAAACCTCAAGTTTGAGCATTTTCAAGCCTATTTCATTCAATATTCATTTTTGCTTTCAAGAACACTTATTGTGCTCAATTGTATTATTCTTGATTGTTCTTTCTTTGTTCTAGAATTGTGCAAACATCTTGCCTTGTGAGGATTTTCTTGTAAGTTTGCAAAATTTGTATTGTTCTCTTTGGGAGAGAGTGTTCTCAAGAATTTGGATATAATTCTTGAGGGATTTGTAAGGTTACTCTTTGTCCTCAAAAGAAAGACAAATTAGTGAATCTGTGGAAAATCCTTAGTGTGGATAGCTAAGGTAGTGGACGTAGACTTTGGTTGAGAAAGTCGAACCACTCCAAATCGCTGGGCAATTACTTTCAATTTTCTGCACAAGCTTCCACCGAAATTTTTATTTGTTAATTCACCCCCCTCTTGGCCATATTCATAGATCGATTAACTCAACACAAATACTACGTGTCATGTGATATATTATTAGAATATCACGTGACTTTTTATAATTAAAGAACGAAATGTATAACATACTTCATGAAAAAAATAAAGGTCAAAATTAAATAAAAAAATATTTAAATACCCAAGTGATAATGATGTAAATTTTATAAGACTAAAATACTATATAAATCTTTTAACTTTTTTTTTAAATGAAGAATAATTTGATACATTGTAAATGAAAAAAAAATCAAGCAATGGTAGAATTATGACAAATGTCCTAATAAATTTAAGAACTACAATAGTTATAAGTAACATCATATTTATAAGTAATTTATTTTCTTTTTCTATAAAATTCTTTAAGTTTATTTTCTCTAAATTTTTATAAATTTTAAATTAAGCGGGCTTTTGCAGGCTTCGCGGGCTACCCGCGGTTATACCCATTAAACCCGCGAGTTTAACGGTCCGGGCTAAAAAGCCCGCAATTTAAACGAGCTTCAATTTTTGATGTCCAAAACCCGCACGGGCCGCGGGTTAAATGGATAGCCCGCGGGCCTTAGCCCATATACCCACCTCTAGTCATTATATAAGGGTAAATTGCACAGTTTCTTACTAAACTTTATTTTTTTCCTATTTTACTTATTGAACTTACAATTTTTTCAATTTGGTCATTAAACTTTTGAATTGCTCTTATTTTGATCACTTAAAAATACAAATTATTTTATTATTATTCTATGATGTGGAATTTTTTATTATTGTTAAAATATGAAAAAAAATTAAAAAAATAATAAAATGATATTTTATTATTATTAAATTTAAAAAGATTTAAAATATTCATCTCCCCTTCCACCATCTTCTCATCACTTTCGATCAACGTTGGCTTTCGAAACCGGCAATCGTTTGATCTCAAAATGTCCCGAGAGACTCATTTTGACATGTTGAGTCCTAATCTAATGGTTTTTTCTCGAAAAATGTCACTTTAGAGCATGTTTCGAGAAAATGAAAGTCGGTTTCGAACTTAGGGTCAAGGCGAAGCAACCCATAAACTCAGGGAGTCAAGACAAAGCGACCAATGAAATCTGAAACCGAACAACTACCATCTACGAATAGTGAACTATCATCATCTATTTTAAATTATTTTTATATTAAATAATAATAAAAATGTCACATCATATCAAAATAATAATAAAATAATTCAATATGATCAAAACATGAGTAATTTGAAAGTTCAGTGAGTAAATTAAAAAATTGAAAGTATAATAAGTGAAATAGGAGATAATAAAATTCAGTGAGAAATTGTGTAGTTTACCCTTGTATAAAAGTTCGTGGCACCTTAAAAATTATGCAATAACTAATTCTGGATTTTGGCTTTAAAGGCCCAAAAGAATTACCATTTTCGACTTTGGTCATTGAATCCACGGCCACTTTTTAATAATTGTATTAATATTAATTCACTTTTCAATAATTTGTAAACAATTATTTTATTTACTTTTTAATCAATTATAAGATGATATGACGTGATTCACAAGGTACAATCCGTTAATTTAATTTACATTTTTTTATAATTAGGAGATGATAAATTTTGAATCTTAAATAAATTATTATTGATATTATTTAATTATTAAAACTGTATAGTTATTCATATTAATTCTATTTAAAATTATGAATATAAGATTTTACTGTGTAAATATTTAGTATAAATTTTATTTTGATTTAAATCTTATTATATATAGATTTACTTTAATTGAATTAGTTATTAATCTATTCTTATTCAATAATGATTATTTTTTTAATGTTTAGATGTACTGTGTATTTATAATTATACTTGTAATTGCAAGGACCAATAATCAAAGTATTTGAGGGGAAAATATTTAAAATAGTTATAATTTTTTATTTATTAATTCAAATTAAATATTACATATAGTATTATATTAATAAGTAATATAAGTTTTCATATGAAAGATATTTTGAAAGATGTAGTGACGGCAAATCTCATCATGTCAGATGTAAATTAGAATACACAGTTTAAAATAAGCTAAAAAAATTATTTTATGGATAAAATTAATTGAATAAAAAATTATTTTATCTTGAATAAACAATCATTATCGTAAGCAGAAAAATATTTTTCACTGAATTTGACATTTCGTCAAGAAGTTGGTTGGTATCACTCAAGCGTTTATAGATTGAATGTTTAGCATTAAATATATATATTAATTTTGTTAAAAATATAATAAGTTTTTAAGTTAGTTTGGTGGTTGGGTGTTTATCATTGATTTATGAAGAGTTATTGTTTGAATTCTATCGAAAGCAATTTTTCATCAAATGATTCTAATAAAACAACGTCGTTTGGGTTTTTTCAGCGCTAAAACGATGACGTTTTGGTGAGGAAGTCACATCATCATCGTCATGGCACAAAGATGTCATGTCATCGTGTCATTAATGGATTAACGACGGAGTTTCATAGTTACAGTTAGGGACTGATGCAAAATTCTATGTTGGGGGCAAACTTGAACTTTTAAAATTCTAAGGGATAAAATAGATTTTCAATAGAAAATACATAGAAAAAAATCTAAAATATATAATAATTTTAAAATTTCAGGGGCAACTGCCCCCACTCGCCTTATCAATATATCACTGATTGCAGTTAAACATAAATGTCAGTGTTAAAATTGACAAAGTTAAAATGTTAATGGCATAAACGAGTTCGAGCTTAGTATTTTATCGTTTTAATAAGATATAAATTTTCATATGAAAAATATTTTGAAAGATATCGTCACGGTAAATCTTATCCTATTAAACGTAAATTGCACAATTTAAAAAAATCTAAAAGTTTATTTTATGAATAAAATTAATTGAATAAACAATAATTATTGGAACACATTACAAAAATGAACTAAGCATTTAATTGAGAAGAATAAAAAAAAACCCAGCTAGTATTAAGGATTTTGTTATAATATAGAAGCTCTAAAATTTTAGACCGATAGTAGGGTTTGCATAAGACGCTAAGCTTAATGTCCATCACCACCGGAACTTGGACCAGAGTTGGTGACTGCGTCAACGAATGCATGACCTTCTCCTCCGGAACTTGGGCCTGAGTTGGTGACCGTGACAGCGTCAACGAATGCATGACCTTCTCCTCCGGAACTTGGGCCTGAGTTGGTGACCGTGACAGCGTCAACGAATGCATGACCTTTTCCGCCGGAACTTGGACCGCCGGTCTTGATTGCTTCAATGGTGAGGCTCAAATCATCCAACAAAACTTCCATCCCTTTGGTTATAGAGCTGCGTGAGCCCGGCACTGCACCGTTGAGAGGACGAGCCCCGGAAGTGAAAAGAAATGAAACAAGAAGTAGAACGAGGAGAAAACAGGAAGAGTTGGCCATTGAGAAACGCTTGGGATTGTTTTACGCAGCTAAGAGAGGTAAAATTTGGTCGTTGATTGCCAATTTTTTGTGTGTAATTAAATTGCATGCAGATGCCTATATATACTACTCTTCCACGCAGCCTCAAAACAGTAACTTGAAAGCTGATATCAGCCTGTTCGTCAGAGCTTAAGGGGTGTGACCCATTTCGAACACGTGACATATTTCTAGGGGTTAAGCTGCCACCCACCTACATTTTTATTGTGCGAGGAGTAGGTCGTAAGTTGATGAAAATCAAGTAGTTTTTGAGTACGAGGTTCGAAATCGTTGCTACTTGTGTCATTAATTACTAGACTTGCCTGGAAAATACAGGAGTTTGAATCAAAATCAAACTGATAAGATAGTAAAAAATGCACAACGCCATGGAGTGCGTAAAGCAAGAGGAGTCGGGACCAGCCTCCATGGGAGGAAAATGTCCAACGCAGAAGTGACAGGCTGCCGTTAAAAATGAATTAAAGAGAATCAATGGAATCCAGGTCATAATTCATGCATGGGAAACTTCGTAATCCCACCCTTTTTTAATTGTTGAAATGAGGATAAAGGTGTATTGAAAAATCACAAAAGGTTGAAAAGACAAAGCGGCATTCAAGCGTACAATATAAATATGAATATCCTCAGGACGAGCACGAAGGTGTTTGGTGATGCTGACGCTAACGTAATACCCTGTTATTTGGGTTTGACAGGGTCGTTCTTGTAGCAAAATTTCAGAAATATTATCAATAACAGATGCAGAGTCAATAAGGACGGGCATGAATGCTTACTTCCCAGGCATCAATTACTTAACACAACTTTCTCTATTACACTCATGAACCCAAGAGGCCAAGGAGCAAGAGAAGTCAGCAGCAGATAGATGACAACTCGGTTGGACCATGCGGGAACTGTATTGTTGAGTTGACTACCAGATTCCATGCCATTCTCTGAATCTATCAAATGCGTATGATGATGAGACTAATTAATTAATTAATTTCATTGAATGGAATTTTTCAACACTTTGAAAAGGGTTATGGTAGCAATATCAAATTTCCATTATGTTGTTGCGGATATAATATGGAGGCATGATGATTTAAGTATTTGAAAAAATGCATATTTCTTTGATTTTACAAATTAGCAAAATCCCTTTTTTTCTGAGGTAGAATTAGATAAGATGAACTGAAACTTCTAACAAGATACAGAGGAGTCAAATCATCTTGTAGGTCCGAATTCTCAATCTTCAAAGTTAGATCATCTATCACTGATTAATGGTAATGGTAAACTGTCTTGAATCGTCTTTCTCACAGAAATGAAGTTATTTATCTAATCTAACTTACGACCCATTTATACAAGCACCAGTTAATCCAACACTTACCATTTAAAATCACTTCTGTGCTAGCCAGCTGAGCGTTGAAATATTCCTTTCACACCAAATAGGGTATAAAAATTCCGTCCAATCAAGCTTAAGAATAGTTTAAATAAGAGATGTACCCTTAAGCTTGCAACTCATCCTCCCAGTTCATTGGAACTCTATGAACACACATTTTGAGTATCTCAAGGCAGCAGAAAAGGGACATATCCCGAAATGTCAGTTGACAGTCAATGTTTACTCTGAAATGGAGGATTTCATCAGCCTATCTTTTGTATACAACTTGTTCAGGATAATCATCCAGGAGATGGAAGAGAACATAGGAACATTGGAAAGGAAACCAAACTACCATCTGCCAACAGACTTTAGGATCTTCATTCCTTGTAACATTTCATATGTTTGTAATCCTCAATTTCTCACAATTAGGATCAACTGAATTAAAGACTGAGGCTGCCATATCCCTCAATTTCAAGCTTTTCTTCCCTGGAATTAGCCCTCACTGGATCTTGCCAAAAGGAAACATTCTTCAAGAAGTAGACATTAACCCATTCAAATTGAACCCTGACCAGCCAGGATGTTTATGATCAACAAAATTATACAAACTCTATTGCAACACTCTTTTAAGTTCTTAGTTCCCAGGCTTCCTTAAGATTTTGGAAGACAAATTTGCTTTCAAGCGACACGAGAACCTTGAGCCTTAACAAGCTGTCCCTTCCAGAAAAATCAAAGGCACATCTGACGTATCTGTTGCAAAACTGATTTTAGTAAAATGAATTGGCAACACCAAAAATTCTGCAAGTTAAAGATATCTGATATAAGGAGCTGCATCTTCAGATGCCTTCCTTTACAACTTGTAAGCCCATTTTTTATTTTTTCAAGCAACGAAGAACGATCTTTTTCAGTAAGCCTCTTGGTAACCAGAGAAAGATTAAGGTATATGATTGGAGGACACTGATTTTAAGACCTATAATTGCTACTTTGCTAGCATCAAATCAAAATCACCTTGCATTACCCCAGAAATAAAAACCCCAGTTCTAGTCGAATTCAATTGTAAACCTGACGTGCTGTAAAAAACCTCTAAAATACTCCACACACCAATGACATTCAAGATTTCTCTAGCAGAATATCATGAGATCATCAGCAAACACAAGATGGGTGATTTTTATCTTGTAGCACTTGGGATGGTACTTAAAAATGTCCTTTTCACAAGGAATGTTCAACTTATGAGAAAGAACATTCATTGCTATAATGTTTTGGTTAAAAGTTTTTTGCTCCCTTATGACATCACTTAATATTTCTAAGTCGTTAGATTCCAATATCGTACATTAAGTTTTCAAAGTAGGAAATGCCAAAATGATTATTCAAATCAAAACTTGAATGAATTTGTTGAACATTTATATTATTATTATTATTATTCTGAAGATCGGGTATGAAAAACAAACTCTGGAGAAAGTCGATTCATTTAATTTCCTTTAATATATCCTCCTCTCGGTTGAACTATATATGTAACATTATCATCATGCAAGATAGTTGACGTATTTTCTTGTAGAATCAAATCAAATATATTAAGGATATGTTGGGTTGTCTTGACCAAACACATGAATAAATTTAACCCTATCCTTTATTTTTGTTGAATCCCAGGGATAGACTGTAGCTTCACATATAAAGTATCCCTTTTCTTGTATTAATTTCCTTTAAGAGTCTTTTTCAAAGAATGACACAAAACTAGCATTGAATTAAACTTGTAAAACAAGTTCATTAGGTTAAGTCAAATCCACATGCTTTCACTCGATAGCTAGAACTAAAAGCATGGGGCTTTTGGCTGAAGCCTATAGATCACATTACTTGGTTCCAACTACACAGGAGAAAATGACAAAACTACCGGTCCCATTCCTATACCGGCAATTTGGCCATCAAAGATAGGACACTCCTCACATGGAATCCCCACTAACAGTGACTAGTCTTCCCTGATATGCAAGCAAAAACAAGCTCAAATCCTGAAAGTCGTTCCCGGAAACAAAAGGAAATAAGCTTTCTCAGGCTTCAAAACCTCAATGGGATTCTTCTTTATTTTCCAAGAAACGGACTTGGGGCTTCAATCTTGATGCTAAAGTAAAGGTTGTACTAATAATATTCCTTGGAGAACACAACAAGACTAATACGACAATATCTTGCTGTCAGGTATTTGGCTGATTAGAGAACAGATCTAGAAGGCAAATAACAAAGCACTAGAATCGACCTCTCTCTGTATCTTACAATCTGGCCATCGAATAAATTCGCAGATAAAAGTTCGCAGTAGCAGACATCAATGAATACTACCAATTTGGACCACCTCCCCCAAGACTTTCGTTCTGCAAACTTAGACTTATCTTCCCAAATCGAATCCTATCAATACCCCATTTCTCATTTGGTCCTGACATTTTTTTCAGGCCAAGAACGTGTTGCTTCAAAACGGAAAAACTAAATCTAATAATCATGAATATAAGGAACAATAGGTTCATTTCAAAGTTAATATTCGTACATAATTGAAGATCTAGTTCATAGTACACCATCTTAGGTATAAATTTCTGAAATTAAAGAAATAAAACAGAATCACAAGCCAAATATAAGTAAACGATACAAGAACCCAAAACAAAGCAAAACCCAGAACTAGAAATCAAGTGAAATATATATATATGGTCGGTTAGTGATTAGAATTATCTGCCTCTGTTAGTGAAATTCATCTTCTCGTAATACTGAATGGAGAGAAGAGAGAGACAAAGATGAACCTCGTCTTTCCCCCACCGAGGGGGAGGCTTGGAGTTGAAAAATTTGGGAAACGGAGGGGCCCAAGACGAAGCGGAAGCAGATTGGGGCTTTGAAAGCGGCCAAAGGTAAAGCGAGTGAAGCCGACGGAAGCCGCCCAGAGGCAAAACCACAGATCTAAGTTGTTGAGTTCCACAGCCGATGTTAGCCCAGTGCCTGGTGCAGATCAGCTCCCAAAGCCGCTCGTCCTTGGCAGTTTTTTGCCACTGCTTGCTAACGCAGGAAGCCATTGCTAAAGTCCTGGCGTCGACGTGTTTCAAGACCTCGTACAGCAGATTTTCATCTAAATTCATGAACCCAGTTTCCTGTTCATCGGGCTCTTGTTTAATTTTCTTCATTTTGGGGTTGGGTAAGGGTACCTGAGAATCCGAGGCACAACGTTTCATTGGGAAAAGCTGAAGCCTGGTCTGTTTTGGTTGAGATTGAATTGAGAATGGGATGGGGAGTGGGTGGTAATGGGAGCTGGTTTTGTCGGATATCGAAGAGAACAAGTGATGGATAATTGAGGTCGCCTGACCCTGACGCTGACCCTGGCCTGGTTTGAGGGGCTGGGATGGGAGGGTTCGAGTTTCGATTCCTTTCTTTTCCTTTTATTATTTTTTTCATAAAGAATTCACAAATCACGATGTCTGTCTAGTGTTTTGTTTTTATTATTATTTTGCTTGCCATATGGGTGTGTTTTATTTTTAGGTTAAATTACACATAAAGTCTCTTTATTATGAATTTAGTAATAAATATATCATATTTTTTGAATTAATTATAAATATATCATTCAATTAAAATGTTATTATAACATAGCACTATATTATTAAATATTATATATAATAGTCATCTGATTTGCGTAAAAATAGTCTTAATTCTTAAAAATTATACAATTTATCTATTTCATCCTAATATTAAATGATCCAATAATTTTAATTATTTGTCTTCGTTTTAATTTAAGCATTCTTATTTAAAATTTGAATTATTTGTCTTCGTTCTTCTTCTGAATTGGTTGTTATTCTTGAAAAATTATTATGTTATTTTCTTGATATAAAAATAATTTAGTAGTATGTTATTGTTACTTTGTGATAAAGTATATTTATCCAACTATTGAATTGATTCAATAGACTCGTTTAGTTTGACAATATCATAGAAAAATGATTAAATTTATAGAATACAAAATATTATATTTATTGATTTTTTTCAAACTATGATAAAATTAATAGATTTTATAAGTTTAGGGACTAAAAATGCTATTATATCATACCACAATAGATCATATGTTTCAATTTTAATGACAAATGACTAGTTTATAATGATATTTGAATTAAGTGGCCTGTTTGTAACTTTTTAAAACATGATATTGTTATTACTAAACTTATAACTAAGTGACCTTGAATTTAGTTTACCCAATTTTTTAAAGTCAGAACTCATAACATTAGCATTAAATTATCCAACTGGCTTATCTGTTGTCTTGTTTCTGTTTTGTTTTCTTCTTTTCAAGGAATATTACAGAAAATATATTTACCGATTGGTTTAATATCTCATTTTCCTTATACTTTAGCTTAGTTTTTAATTTAACTTCTGTATTATGTTTTTTTCTTAGTTTATCATTTATACTATTATTTTGTCTACAACTCCTTTCGATGTTATCATTAAAAAAGTTATGTAAACTAATAAGGACATGTCAGTGTAATAAAATTTAAAAAATATTTAAAAATGTAACAAATTATAAAATGCAAATAAATCTTAAAGATATGAAAGAAATTAAAAATTATGATGATGACCACTACGGCCAGACGTCGTGTGAACACTATTTCTGCTTTGAGAAATGATGGCGGCTCGTGGTGTACTGATAATAAGGAACTTGCTTTGCTTGCTACTCTGTTTACGAGTTCTGGTGTCGATGGTTATGGTTGGAATATTAGAGGTTACTTTCCGATTGTGGATAGAAGCAGTTATGATAAGTTGTCTCTCCCCGTCTCTAATGAGGAAATTAGGAAAGCATCTTTGACATTGGCCCTTTGGAGGCTCTTGGTGTTGATGGTCTCCATGTCGCTTTCTACCAGCATAATTGGTATATTGTGGGGGACTCGGTGATCTCTTACACTCGGTCTATTTTTTTAGCAGGATCTTACCTGAGGCATTAAATCCTACTCTCCTGGTCTTGATTCCGAAAGTAGTGACTCCCGAGAGTATAGTTTTCTTAAGACAGATTTTCGGCCACTCCTTGGTGCTCGAGATCTTTTGGTCATCTGTCTCCTAAGATACAATAACTTGATGATAAGCTATAATAACAAAACAGTAGTGATCAAGAACTTTCCTTGCCTTCGACTATCTCCGAAAAAACTAAGGGAGGAAAAGAATATTTTCTGAGAACGAGAGAATATTTTTCAAGAGAATAAAACTTATTGAATTATGAGATGGGAAAAACCTAACATGTTTGCATACTTTGTTTGGATTTTTTCAAATCATCCTTTACTCTTTCAAATTTTTACTTAAAATCTTGTTAATTATTAAGAATTTCAAGATTTACCTCATTATTACTTTGGGTATCTTGTTCTGCTGATATTTTTGTTAATCAATTTTTGTTTTTAAACCCTAAGTTTAGATAATCACTAGATTGCCTATTTTCTTAGATTTATATATTGTAGGATCAGTTTATGTGATAAAGAAATAATTTTAATTAATTTAATCGATTTTGATTAACCAAAGCTTCTGTAAAACCAATCGAAATCTGATTTTTCAAAAGAATCATCTTTTTGTTTCAATCGATTAAATCAGTTTTAGCAAAATTCTATAAATAGTGATTAAATTCATTAGATGAGTGACCAAAACTATTGGTTGTATGAGTATGGCAGGAGAGATGAGTGAAAATTCTTCACAAAATTAACTGAAGTGGCATTAGCATTTTAGATCAAAACACAGAACCATATAAGAGTACAACCCGATACAACATTCACGTATTCATAAGGTTAATTACGATCAACCAAATGTGAACAACACTAATAGTCCATATATGGTCAATCACTTCCATACATACATGCATGCATATTCAATTTGTCGAGGAAAGAATAAAAAATTCTTCATCTAGATCATCGAAACATAAAAGAAAAAACATCCAAGAAAGTGCTGATGATGACCATATTCAATTTATGGGTGAGAAACTTGGTAAAATTACTGAAACATTAAAAAAATTACCGAGGATAAGACACCATGTCTTTATAAAGAAGTGATGTTGATGAAAAAAGAAGGATTTGCATGACAAATTTAATGTTCGGTTTTCTAGTAAAGAATGAGTATGAGGCCAAAGTTTTATTGGCTAAGAAAACGAAGCATAGGAAACTTCAGCTTCAAAAGTTTACTCGAGGTTAGAAATATGTAGTTTTAATGTGTTGTTTTAAATATGAACTTAAACAATATTAATGTATTAATACGTTATAGTACTAACTATGTACTCAGACGATATTATTATATTATTATGATATACTTTTAATTATGTATTTGAATATTATTGTTGTTTTAATGTGGTGTAATCTTATTTATGCACTTGAACAATGATGTAGTACTTATATATTGTGTTGTCGGCCAATGATTATGGTGAAATAAATTCCATCCTTGATTTGATGTTGTTTATCTAGCTAAGAAGGGCTGTTATCTGATAGTGTAAGTTGATACTGAATATTTTTAAGGGCATTACATGTTGCGTTCATCATGAGATTTTTTACATATAGGTAAAATTCAACACTCATATATATACAATTTTTTAGTTATTGATCAAGTTAATACATTATAATATTAATTTTAAATTTTATTAGATATAATTAAGGCAATCAAATAATAAAAAATATAATATGTTTTGTTTTACTAAAACCAGATTCTGAAACTTGTTTTCAGAAAAACTTATCAAACAGCGTAAAATAATTTACACAACTTCATTTAAAAACCAGAAAATGATTTTCAGAATTATTTTTCCAGAAAATATAATTCATTTTTCAAAATTCATTTCAACCTATCAAAGAGACCCTTATTATTTCTTTCTTTCTCTCAACTGCAATCCTTTATAGCTCTCTCTCTCATTTCATGCATAGTTTATTGTCTTGAACATGTTACACAACAACCGACTATAGCTCTTCACTTAAATTAAAAAAAATTAATCGTTACAATTGACATAACACATTGTTACCATTAATACATGAAGCATCAACAGAAGCCAGCGATAGTATCAGTCTAACACAATTTTCTAAAGCACAGGATATGTACTCAACAAATCACATGTTAATTCCATCAAGCTCAAACGTTAGTAATCTAGGATAAAAGAAGAGAGGTCCATCTGGTGAATAATCCAACCCTACCCATAAGACACAGCTAGGTGATTGACAGAACCATGCCTTATCTATAAAGTGGTAAATTTTGAATTTACTTTCTTTGAGATCTTTTCCATTAATCTGGGTAAGTAGAAGGTAGTATATATTTAAAGATAATTCTCAATCATTTAACATCAAATGCTCATTTTCCTGACATTTTTTATGGTTGAACCTGAATAATCAATCAGGCTAAAGTGGAAGCAAGTTACGTGATTGGGACCGACCCACGTTTTTAGGAGTTTATGTTTCCTTCATACAGCTGATGTGAATATAACGTTGTTTTGTTGCGCAACATGATTTTTTTTTTTGTAGAAATCTCCCAAGAAATTGATAGTTCTGTCTACTGTACGTTATATATCCAAACCGCATCTTCATTCGTGACTTCAATTTTTTTTGTTTTAACCCTGGGGATTTGAAGTCCGGTTACCTTAGAGATTGGTGGGGCATATTTCAGCCCATGATCTGAGAACTAAATTATTAAGGGGCCCCAGCTTCAATATCAGGCCTAGCCGTGTCTAAATATTATGAGCCTTTTTCTTGGTGTTTTTGTCCAATACCCGAAGCGGGTAAATTATTTGGCCCAATAGGCCAATAAAGATTTTAATTTGGAATCTACAACATTTACTACGGTAAAGGACAAAGTCGTCACGTTGAGGTGATAAGTTTGATTGAAAATATTTTTTATTAGATTAACTTTAAGTATAATTTAACATTTGTTTTTACATTAAACTAAAAATAAAATCAGAAAATGGGCCCTCAACATAGGTAAAGCTTCTCAGTTTGGCCCCTTTTTTTTTGGTTTAAGAAGAAAATTGTGGGAACGTTACCAGCTTACGTGCAAACTCTGACGGGACAGTAAAATGGGTTTGTGGGGATAAGGTAGTTTGTTGCGAAGTAAGCCCATGGGGCTTAAGTTGTTAGCACTTGGCAGTTGAGTTGGGTTCGAGTTTTGGGGTTGCTTCTTCGGGTATAAAAAGTTGTCCATTGCCTTGCCTGCCTTAATCGAAAATCAAAAGTTGATTTGTTGACAACCAAATCACAAACACCTAAACAACGCAGAAATTTGAAGTGTTTTAATAATTGAGAAGTATTCCATTTGGAGCAGATGCAGATCTAAGTAAAGTTGGTGTGTCCCTTTCATTTCAACCTTCCTCGGCCCAAGCCAACCCACATTCAATTCTATTTCTTTTCCCCTTCCCTCAAATTTACTATCATTAACAAACATTTCTGCTTTCCCCTCCCAAAGAAATGGCTGATCCTGAATCCCCGACTGCTAATGACTCTACCGCACCAACGCCAACCCAAGTAGACGACATCGCCGCCAAGCTTAGCAACCTCACCTTTAAAATTTGGCCACCCACCCAACGAACACGTGACGCTGTCCTCAACCGTCTCGTGGAGACGCTGTCGTCCGAATCCGTCCTTTCCAAACGCTATGGAACGATCGCTATGGAGGAGGCTTACGCCGTGGCCAAGTTGATCGAGGAGGAGGCTTTTTCGGTTGCCCAGGAATCGTTTTCCACTGACGAGGACGGCATCGAGATTCTCCAGGTGTATTCCAAGGAAATCAGCAAGCGTATGCTCGATACTGTCAAAGCTCGAGCTGCCACTGACTCTGCTCCCTCAGGTTCGGCAGAGGCAGACTCGAATAAAGTGGGAACTGCGGTTTCTGAGGAGAATTCGTCCTTCTCGGTCAAGGACGAGGATTGAGTTTGAACATTCTCGTCTCTTTAGGGTCCTCTTTGTTGTTTAGCTTGATAAACGGTATTGCTAGGGTTTTATTAGATCTCGGACCATTAAGTATTGCGGGATGCTTACTTGCTTGCTTATATAGCATGATAATAATATTTGTCAGTATCTTGCGTTTTTTTTTCTGTGTTTCCTGTAACCTTGATGGATCCTTGCTTTGTTCATTGATACAGTGAAAAATGAAGGGTGCTTGAATTGTTATTCATTGATGATTTTGTATCCAGTAACTCATCAGCATTTCAGCATTCTGTAACTTTATTACTGTGTGTGTTTCATCACCCGTTTCAACAAATTCAGTCATTAGTTTCATAGGAATTAGACATCTGTTATTCTGAACTTGCAGAACATTATGGAATCAGGAGTGATCCAGTTGAAAATCATGTATGAGTTTAGATGTAGGATTTCTACGGAATAGGTATCTGCATTTTATTTAGGTCATTTCTTCAATTCATTTTTTTTCCATTTTTTTTGGGGAGGGGAATAATTGTTGGTTTGGAAAGTTAATTTGCATTTGAAGGAATTCTTAGGTTCATTATAGCCATCAAGATATGAAAATTATAGGGGATTTCTGCTGTGAATTACAGTCCAGTAGGCAAGGGATAGTATTGGTGCTATAGAGAAAGAGTATATATTCATTGGAAATGCATTCTTATGAACTTATCTCTTTGTAATATAAAGATCCAGTTGATATGAATGAGGTAGATACATATTTGAATTTGAACGACCTATCCCTTTTCTGTATGAACATGATAGGTCATATTCTTTATTACATTTAAAATGTTTGAAGAATACAATTCAGATTCTTTTCTCCGACTTGTATGAACATTCTTTTTATGTACACAGAACCTCTTTGCTTGCCACACATCCCTGTGCTGCATTGCATCATAGTCCTTTTCTGCCGGTTGTGCATTATTTGATTTCTCTAACAGCTTCAAGCCTTCCTCTCAACTATTATTTCCGATTCTTGTCGTAGCTTAAGCATTGCATTGCAACATAGTCAAATTTCTGGTGGCATTCTTTATCCCATACCTCCAGCTAGCATCTTGATTGGATGAAATATTATTATATATTTTATGTTGTTAATGCTTCATTTCTATCTGGTGATTGCTCGACAGTTGTGAGCTTCCGTTCTCATAAACTTTGTGCTGCATTCGCCCTATTGTTGGAGTTTTTTCTTGCATATAGAAAAAATTGTGTAAGTTAGGAAAACAAAAGAATTTGAATTATGGATGCCATATTTTAAAAATAACTTCATAAACCAACTAGATTGAACTTTGAAGTTCAATATCAGACAGTTTTCCTTGACTGCTGTGCAATTTCATTTGCCTTGCGAAATAGCTCTCTTGTCCAACTAACCGTATTCCCTTTCCCACCGTGGTTAGATTTTTGAGTTGAGACTATTCCTAGTTTCTTGCTCGCTATAGGAGCATTGAGCACCATGCAAGTGCTTTCCCGGCAACTCATTTTGGGAAAACTTGTTACAAGAGTACGGGATTGTTTGTTTGAAATTTTTTCCGATAATTGACCATTGTTTTGTTTTGTTGCTGTGCTGGATGTTTTTGCTCGGAGAATTTTGTTCCTTCAACAGTGGTACGACGCCTTACAAAATTATTTTTTTCTCATGTTTTAGTGTATGGGTTAACAATAACATAATTTCATTTTAAAGATTTTTTTTTTTAAAATGTGTCAAATATTTCCGATGTTTTAACTTTAGGCCTTAATTATCGTTAAAAAAACTGTTATCTGACATATGTCGCGTTTATATATTTTTGATATTTTTAAAATAAAAAATTAAAATATTATTTTTGTATAAAAATAACTCTAAATTCTTTGAAATTAAAAAACTCCAAATCTCTATCCTTATTCCCATGTTGTCGGAGACTACATTAGTGAGAGGTGAGGAACTTACATCCGTCGAGGGGCCACTGATGAGACGTGAAAAGTCTGGAGGTCTTGACGATTATGGGAGTAGTGTCACTGGAGAGGGGCGAAGGAGTAAAGGGGTGGGCTCACACACTAGGAACAAATTGCTGGATGATGGGGGGTTTCAATTTCTGTTCGACATGGGAGTTTCAATTGATGAATGAGAGAATGCTAGACGACATGACTGCTGGAGGACATGAGAATTTCAATTGATGAACGCCAGCATTATTAAACGCGGGAGAGGGGACACATTTACGGGGATTTGGGTTTTTTTCCTACCATTTGCTTCTCCTTCACGGGGGCTATTTTCCCGGTATATCACCGGTGATCGGTATTATTACCGATCTAATACCGGTCAGACTATATTTTTTGATCTAACACCCTTAACAGAAAAGCGCTCCCCTGCACCGCGCTATATGCTGATTTGGCGTCATGTGGGTATAGCGCGCCCCTGCCCCGCGATATACGATGATCTGCGTCACGTGGGTATAGCGCGCCCCCTGATCCGCGCTATACGCCACGTAGGGGTATAGTGCGGATCAGGAGCCGCGCTATACGCCGAAATTATATTTAACGAATTATTTTCAATTAATTTTTATGTTTGTAAAATTGAAAAGTGGGAGCATACGTCGAAATAGTTTTGCGGTGCAGGTAATAATATAAAATTATATTATTTAAATTATTTACGTTGATGTGTAAAAAATTTATTGTGTTATATTTTCGTTCATATATAAATTATTTAATCAGGTTTGTTTAAGTTATTTTTTTTACAGATATAATATTGCCGCACTTTTAAACTCAAAGAATGGCGCGACTTTCAGCTATTGTTTATTATGATGATGAAATTCGAGAAGATGAAATCGGCGTTGTTTTCGTATCAAATGAGCGTGTTAAAATATCATTCAAGAGAAACATAACTCTTGAGGAGCTAATAACGAAGATTTCAAGGAAGATTCATGTTGGAAGTAACAGAAGAATGTCGTCGTTGCAATACATATTTCCAACATCATTGTTGCCATTAACTTATACAGTGTTCGAACTTTCGAACAATGATGATGTTCAAATGATGGTTGAAGCTCAAAGTAATTATTCAGACCCCACTATTGAGATGTATGCATATTTTGTTCAAGTGCGTGTTGTTTAGGGTCAATCTTTAAGCTCACACTATGGGCTGGCTGAACAAGTTGATCAAGTTGACAGCCCGACTACAATAATGTGTAATGATTTTAATGCCATAATGGGGAGACATTCATCCGCAACTTCATACGATATGTACCGACGTGGGTCCACGAACAATCCATATGGCAACACCGCGTCCAGTTCAAGGGGAATGCATTCATCTGCAAATTTCTTTGACCATATAGAGATGCCATCGACGCAACCATCTGTGCGGTTTCTATTTGACACGATGACTTCAAGCTCTAGGGGGAGGCATTCGACTGCGAGCTTTTTCGATCTCAATGTCGATATGCCTTTCAGTTCAAGGGGAAGGCGTGCAAGTAGTAGGTTCTTCGACCTAAATGTGGAGAGCATGGAGGAACCATCATCTCCACCAGAAGAACCGCTTCGTGAGCCTGGTGCGGATGGTGCTGAGACTGGACTATTCATTCACCCAGAATCACCGCAATTCAACTCCGATGATGATGAAGTTCAAGGAAATGTGGCACAAACTGACCCTCATGCATACATATATGAAGCTGATTATGGTGCAATGTACGGGCCAGAATTTTCGGATATGCCTCATCTCGGTGACTATGGATATTACTCATCAATAAATAATGGTGAGTTATCTTTAGGCATGGAGTTTTCAAGCAAAGAAGAAGCGATGATGGCTATCAAAAATTACAATATTCGTAATTCTGTTCAGTCCAGAGTCAACCGATCGACGACAAAAAAATATGTATGCTAATGTGCCCGACGTAAAAACGGATGCAATTGGATGGTTCGCGTATCGAAAATGAAGAGGAAAAACAACATATGAGAACTAACAGTATGTATGCTAATGTGCCCGACGTAAAAACGGATGCAATTGGATGGTTCGCGTATCGAAAATGAAGAGGAAAAACAACATATGAGAACTAACAGTATACAATGGTCCTCATACATGTTGTGCTGGAGGGGTCAACCAAGATCATCCGAACTTGGACTCTGAAGTGATATGCCAAGCCATCATGCCCATGGTAAAAGCAAGCTCTCATATAGCTGTTGTAGTGTTGATTTCAGCTATACAATCGCAGTATGGGTACACCGTCTCCTATTAAAAAGCTTGGTTGGCAAAACAAAATGCCATTGTCAAACATCATGGCGAATGGGATGCATCTTTCAACGAACTTCCAGGTTGGTTTAGGCTGGTGCGGACGTTGAATCCTGGGACAATTGTGGACTTCGAAACCTCCTATGCATACCATAATGATCGAGTTCTTCGCGATCGATGCCAATTCTACCGGGTTTTTTGGAGTTACCCACAGTGCGTTAATGCTGCCAATACTGCAAGCCTGTGGTCCAGATCGACGGGACTTTCTTGTATGGAAAATACAAACAAGTTTTATTATTGGCAGCCAGTTGCTTTTGCTCTTGTCGAATGAGAAGATACAGATTCTTGGGCTTTTTTTCTCCGAAATTTACGTGCACATGTTATCATGAGGGAAACAATTTGTGTCATTTCAGATCGCGGAGCTGGGATCAAAGCAGCAATGGAGTCTTTGGGTCCAATGTGGCAACCACCCTTTGTCCAACATAGGTATTGTTTCCGACACATTGCTGTGAACTATCATGGAAGGTACAAGAAGAATGATGAGCATCAATTAATTGTGCGCATGGGTAAGTGAAAGCAAGTTAGTAAGTTATACATTTTTTGATCATTTTAATTTTGTAAAGAAAGCAAGTTAGTAAGTTATACATTTTTTGATCATTTTAATTTTGTAAAGAAAGCAAGTTAGTAAGTTATACATTTTTTGATCAGGTTACGAACCACTTCCTCGAACGTTTGAATCAATGCTTCAAGATTTGTAGGTGAAGAACGAGGAAGGATACGATTACATTAGCCTCATCGATAAAGAAATGTGGACGAACGCATATGATGGTGGATATCGATATGGACACATGACGACCAACTTGGCTGAGGCAATCAATTCAACCTTAAGGGTGCACGTCACTTACCTGTAGCGGCTTTGGTAAAAACTACATATTTTCGTTTGGGGGCTCTTTTTGCGAAGCTCGGGGGACAAGCTAAAACCTGGATGCAAGGCGGTCATGTCTATCACCATAGATTAGTTGCAGATCTACAGAAAAAAATTGCTGCATCAAATGGAATGTATGTAACAAGCTTCTCTAGAAGGCATGAAATGTTTCGTGTCACAGTTGCCCCGACCTCTTCAAGGGATTGAAGCTGTGTCGTTAAGAGTAAATCTAAGGGATAGAGCGTGCAACTGTGGGTTTTTTCAAGCTCTCAAGTATCCATGCTCTCATGTGATAGCAGCTTGCTCGCATACACGTCAAGACTATAACCATTTTGTGGATCCCGTATACCTACTATCTGAAGTTTTTAAGGTATACGGATTTTAGTTTCCCCCCATAGGTAATGACAAAGACTCTGATGAGGTTCAAGATTGGCTTCCGATTGTACCAAATCCGAGTTTATTGAGGGAGCGTGGTCGTCCAAAATCCAATCGAATTCATTGCGATATGGATATTCGAGAAAGATCTAGACAGACAAAGATGTGGCCATTGTAGAACCCAGGACACACTAGAAAACATGTCCACTTCTGTTGTTATCAAGTAACAATTGATGAGGAAATGATGTATTTGTTTATCAAATAATTCTTGTATTTTAATTTGCATTTACTTCAAGTTTCATACGATAATCGCTGATGAAGATTAAAAAACGAACACTATTATTAAATTTTATCAAACTAATAACAATTTGATATTTAAATACAACAAACTTACAATAAGAATGGTAAATGATAAATTACAAACTGATATTAAATGGTAATAACAAAATTAACTAAAATATATTAAAAAAAGTCCAACAAATTTAACAAAATAAAGTAAGTATTAAATGAGAAATAATAAAAAATACAATTAAACAAAATAAAGTAAATACAAATATAATAAAAAAATCTATCGATGCCTGCGTCGCGAATGTGTTCCGCATGGCGGTGGCTGTCGGTCTCGAGGAGGATTTTTTCGTATAATTGGTTTTGACTCCTCGCTGTCATCGTCATCGTCATCGTCGTCGTCACCATCGTCGTCGTCATCATCGTCGTCTTGAGCAGGTACATCATGTTGATGAGGAGATGATGACGATGAAGCACCTCCATAGAATAAGGACCCTGGAGGTGTATGACTGACTATCCCACCGGCATGCGAAAATTGGGAAAACTGGGAAAACCCAGACATCGCTGAGTGTGAAAACTGTACAGGAGGTGTCTGTGGTACGACCATAGGTGATGAGGATGAACCCGCCAAATATCCAGTATATGAACCCCAAGTCGGATCTACAAACATAGACCCATAATACCCTTCAAGATGGGTCATATGTGACGGTGGCGGGGTCATAAAACCATATGAAGGCGGCGGCGGCATCTGGTAATGGAAAGGCGATGGCGGTATCATATATGGCTGCGGCATCATATATGGCTACGGTGGCTGCTGGGAAGGTCCTGCTGGTGCAGCTGAGGATGAACCGGAAGCACATGCTCTCCGTCCACGAGTCGGGGGACGATGGTGCTGTATCGGTGAACGTCTCTATCGACGTCGTGGAAAGGTTTGCCCTCTTGCATCCTCGGGTAGTAGAAACGGTTTCTCGTTACTGTTGAACCACTCATAATAATCCTCAGCATACATCAAGAGGTCATAAAAAATGGACTCTCTACGGGGAAGGCACCAATGTCGATCCTCCCACAACACGACCCACCCATGATGCCTCACCAGCCAATCTGTATATGTCTTGCCGCGTCTATATAAGCTATGCAACTCGTCCATATTGCGAGGTGCTTCCAGAATTGGTTGAAAACAACCAAACTGCCGGAGCACGCGATCAGTGGAGTGCCACTCGACGATCGCATAACAGATCAGAAGAACCATCGCCATCCAAACATCTAATGGACCCCTCAACTCAGGTGGGATCATCGCCCTCACATCATCAGTAGAATATGGCACCCGTTCAAAATAAAACAAATAATATATAATTTTTATCAAAATAATAATCTAATTATATAACTATAATCTAAAATCGATTTTTAAACATTAAAATTCATACCTGTGTGTCAGCCTTCTGATCGATTAGCACCCTAATTTTTTCTAAATCATCAGGTAGCTCCTGATGATTTTTCCTATCAGTAGACCACCTATTCAAGGAAAAAAATTTTGTTATACGCTGTATAAAATTATTAATATACAAAATCAGTTTTATAATTACCTCAGAAGTAGTGGAAATACGAATGAGTTCTTCACAACAGGACATAAAAAGGGCAATCGATACCATGCCCAAGACTGCAGCAGCATGAGACATCCGCCGATAGCATTACGTCTGTAGTCAGCGGCTCCACAAATCTCCTTGTACAGCAAAGCCAAAACTGACGAGCCCCAACTGAATGATCCGGCGTCGCTTAACCTGCATTAACCAGAGTATGCATGCCCGTGCATACATCTTAACCTCATCCTCAGAGGTGTCTGCGCTCAACTCCCGAAAATTGGCATCTAACCAATTTAACGGTATCCTACCTCCGATAAAATTTTTCGTGACACGTCCTAGACTATCCCGACATAAAGTAGTCCAAGAACCGGAAGCTATCCCTGATATCACATCTCCATCCACCGGAAGCCCCAGGTGCATAGAAACATCCTCAAGCGTGATCGTGCACTCTCCGCACAAAAGATGGAATGTGTGGGTCTCCGGCCTCCACCGCTCTACTAAGGCAGAAATCAGGTCTGCCTTTATTTTACAGTGACCCTGATATCTACCTATGTAACCGAATCCAGCCTCTACTAAATACGGCAAGACACGACTGGGTATCACTAACTTAAGATTCCTAATAAAAGGATCTAATACACAGTCATTCTCCTAAAAATAAATAATTACAAAAATTAATTCTTAATCTAATAATCATGCATTAAATGAATTAACTAATTATTACTAATAATTTAAATTAAATTAAAACGTTAAAATGTTACCGTATCAGCAAAGTATCGAGATATTTAATTCTTAATCTAATAATCATGCATATAATAAATCAACTAAATATTACTAATAATTTAAATTAAATTAAAACGTTAAAATGTTACCGTATCAGCAAAGTGTAGGGATATATGATTTCCATCCGAGCGAAGTAGAATGTTTTCCATTATATATTTGCAAAAGAATTATATTAGTAAAATATTAAATAAAGTAAAAACATAATAGTAAAAATATTATAAAATATACCTTAAAAAGAGAGTATTTGAGAGAAATTTAGAGAATTTGAGAGAATTTGGTGTGATAAAAGTGATTGAGGATAGGGGTATTTATAGGGAGGATGGGGACGTGAAGGGTTGGTAATTAGGGGTATAGCGCGCCCCCTGCACCGCACTATACCCCACGTGTCAGATATCCAGGTATAGCGCGGATCAGGGGGCACGCTATATCCACGTGGCGCCAGATCACTGTATATCGCGGGACAGGGCGCGCGCTATACCCACGTGACGCCAAATCAACATATAACGCGGTGCAGGGGGGCACTTTTCTACTAAGGATGTTAGATCGGGAAATATAGTCTGACCGGTGTTAGATCGGTAATAATACCAATCACCAGTGATATACCGGGAAAATAGCCCTCCACTGGTGGATGAACTAAGAAATGACAACTCGCCATGAATAATCGGTATAAAGTGGGTGGGTGTTTGCCGACAATGATGACAATTGACAACAGTAGTAGACTTTAGGTTAAGGATTTGGGGGTTCATGATTTTTGGGATGTTTGTTAAAAATGGGAGAAGATATGAGTCTTTTTATAATTTTATTTTTTAAAAATTATTTTTAATTTAAAAAATTAATACACGTGTTAAATATTGATTGGTTCACTGATTTGTAACAGTTATTTAATAGGAGTTACTACTTAGATATTTAAAAATATAACGGAAAAAACATTAGACTTCTACTTATAATGAAAAATTCTTAAGACACCTAAAGTTAAGTTTACCTATAGTTCAGACATTTCTTGCGTTAAGTCTTTAATTTTTGAAACAATTTGTTAAATAAAATCTGCACAAGTTTATTTTCTTTTGTCCAAAGTGGAACAAATTTTACATCTTTCAAATTTTAACTTTCAAAGATATTATATGTTATTCTGTAATGTGGATTTAAATGATCTTCCTTTAAAGCAAAAGAAAAAAATAACAGAATTTTGCTTGGGTTTGGAGTAAATCTATAGAAATGAAGTCAAATCAATTATGGTTGCAGGTTGTTTTTCAGTTTAGGGTAAACACACTTCACTTTTATTTGACAGAAGGAATGTAAATTAGCAGGGCTTATATGCAGTAAGTTGAACAAAGTATTTCCCGTTATGCTTGTGTACACACACGTAGGTGTTGGTAATGGCATCTCAGATTGTGGAAAGTAGGTTGAACATGCCAGGGCGGGGACTGCACAATGCTACCAAGGGCTCAGCTTTAGGCATGGTGAGTCCCGTGCCTTCCTTCATATCGATTTCCTCCTCCCCAATCCTATTCCACTCAAATGACTGAATCAGGGCGCCGAGTACCAGTCCAACCACTTTTCTACCTAGATTAGCTCCGGGACATGCTCGTCTTCCGACACCAAAGGGAAGTAATTTATACCCTTCAGGTTCACCACCTACGAATCTCTCCGGCATAAATCTGTCGGCGTCCTCCCAGAGGTTGGGGTCCCTTTGGATAGTCCACGCATTGACAAATAACATTGTTCCACGTGGCACGTTATAATCACAAACAACACAATCTTCTGATGATTCATGAGGTAGGAGCAATGGGGTTGGTGGAAATAATCTCATACTTTCAGAAATTATGGATTGTAAATAATTCAACTTCGGTAAGTCTGTTTCATCTAAAAGCTTGTATTGTCCAACTTCAGCAGCTATTTCAGTCCAAGCTTTATAGAGGGCTCCAGGATGATTGAGAAGAAGTGACATAGTCCATTCTATGATAGTCGATGAAGTTTCAGTTCCGGCACCTATCACTGACTATTGACAAGTTTCAAACATATAGAAAATTAAAAATTATAGAGATAAAAACGAATAGTGTATATAAGATTTGATTTTTTAAAGAATATATTAATTTATAAAAATCTTTGAAAAATATAAATATATTTCTTCGAGAAAAGTGGACTTTAGAAAAAAATGCAAACAAATGACATAACTATTCACATGGTAACTATCAATGACGCACAAGTTGGGAGACTTTTGAGCATGTTGGACCTACAGAACGAAAAAAAATCGCATAATGATTCATGGATCTTACCAAGATTACTGCTTTTATGGTTTGATCGGTATAGAATTCCGGTTCTGTTTGTTGCAAGGATAACATGATATCGATTAAATTTGTTTTTGTCCCATTGTTGCTTCCATCAGATGAACCCAAAGGCTGATCGGTTGAATCTTCCCTCATCCTTCTATGCTCTTCAAGAAGAGACTGTAAGAACTTGTCTAGTTTCTTCATGGCTGCTTTCATTCTCCTCTCCACACCTTGGAAATCGACCCACTGCAGAACAGGAAAAAAGTCATTCGCATGTGCGCTTCCATGGATCTCCACAGCCTCTCTCATGATGTCACGAAACTCCTCTGCTTCTTTATCCACTGCATCTTTCCCGTAATACCGCTTTCCGGAAACTATCCTTAGAACAATATTGAAAACAACCTCTATAAGTTTTGATGTAAGTTGCACCTTAGCCGGTTTCCGGATCGCTGCCAGGAATAGTTCCTTTAGCAATAACCGAACTTCCTCTCCCCGGATGTTAGCAAACATGGCAACTCGGCTTGTGGAGAAGAGCTCCATGGTGGTGAGACGCCTAAGGTTACGCCAATAATCACCGTAGGGCGCTAATCCGATCGTGCTATTGTTATAATCCATGTGTTTTCCAGCAAGCAACTGAGGGCGGTTGGCAAAGATGATATCATTTTTAGTAAAGCACTCTTCGGCTGCTGATGCTGAGGAGACTACGAGGACTTTGCGAGTTCCGAATTGAAGGAGCAGGATGGGGCCGTATTTCTCTGAAAGTTGATGAAGAGTTCGATGAATTGGTTGTTTTAGAAGATGGAGATGGCCTATGATTGGCAAAGCAGGAGGACTAGGTGGCAAATTCCTTGGAGTTTTACGTTTCTGTACGATGGATTTGAAAATTAACGCAGGGAGGAGAAAGGAGATGATGAGTATGATATTGAACAAACTAACAACTTCCATGTTTTCTAACGCCGGCGAATTCATTCTAATAGACAACTCTCTCGTTTTAAATTTTACAGGGGGAAGAACCTGGGAAAATTCTGCTCTTATAAATATCAAATTATTTTTTAGCTTACAAATATATAGATGACAACTGTACATATCAGAGTGGTTATATATCATATTCAATAAAATGAGCTGTATGGTTTACTTTTATCTGTTTGACCTTAGAGGTGTTAATTAATATTGTATTCTATTTCAAATGAGCTGTACGGCTTGCTTTTATCTGTTTAACCTTAGAGCATACCAATACGTGGATGACATGTTAAAACTTTCACAGAATCAACTTATGAAACACCAACTTCTTGAACATCTTCAAAATAGAATCTCAAATGCCACACATTTGAACTGTTCCCAGAGAAATCAACATTACTCCAGTGAGATTATCATGCATCAATTCCTAGTATAAAATGTGGATACCTTATGTTGCTTGTATTTTTCTCTTACTGCTTGATAGAAGATGAAGTCAGACTAAGCAAATTACAAACAACACAAATATTTTCATTATTAATTTTCCATGCTTGTAATACAGAACGGGCCCTCATTATATATAGCCCAACACAACATTATAACTGCACGAGTTAAACGGTTACAATTAGCCCAATTGATCAACAACTCATTAACAACCTAAGATAAGAGTGAGCAGCTCATGAGCAGCTCGGACTTGACTCGATTCAGGTTGATTCGACTCGAATTTAACTCGAGACCTTAACGAGATGAGTCGAGAAAAATCTAACTCGACTCGATAAATTCACAGCAATTCGTTAATTTTTTTTATTAATTTTTAGTAGTTATCTTAAAAAATTATTCTATTCAAAAAATTACTAATTTGCTAATAGACAATAAAAAAGATGATAAATTACTAATCTATTAATTTTTAATAGATAATTAAATATATTAAATTACTAATTAATAATAATTATTTTACTACACCAAAAAAATTAAACTCTAATTATTATTTTAATGTATTTATAGATTGTTATTTTGATGTTTAGACTTTGAATTTGTTTCATGCACTCTTTTGATAATTTTTTTGTTAAATTTATTAATTTATGTTTATAATAAGTTTTTATTATAATAAAAAGTTTTTGTGAGCTTAACGAGCAACGATTTAACAATAAATTTTTTAACGAACACAAATCGAGCAAAAATTTAATTAGCTTAAAAAGCAACGACTCGAGCAACAAAATTTTTTAACAAGCATGAGTAGAGCAGAATTTTAAAGAACTTAACGAACAACGAGTCGAGCCGAGCCGAGCAACAAAATATTTTAACAAGCACGAGTCGAACACTACCCAACTCACAATCGATTCGCTCGATAAACACCCATAAATCTAACTGCTTGTTTGACAAGAGTTCTCTACATTCTTTTTACTCTGATATCTTCCCTGTTTGCTCTTACAAAACCTTGAAGGGCAACACTCCAAGACGATAACGCATGTCAGCGGACTAAGACGGAGGAACGGATTTGGTAAGAACATCGGCAACCTGCTCTGCCGACAATACAAAATTAACCAAGAGTTGATCAGCAAGCACCCTCTCTCGAACAAAATAAATTTCGATCTCCACATGTTTAATGCGAGCACGATGGGCATTGGCTGCCATCACCCAAAACAAAAGAGAAATGTCCAAGAAGACAGAAGGGATATTTTCAAAACCGAATATGGTTGTGGAAGGTACACTCTTAAGGCCCGTTAGTGTTGGGGTCATTACAAATTTTATGTCGAAAAATACGTTTTATCCTTAATATAGAAGTTATAGATAAACACGAGATCGAGTGTGGTGAACTCACCAAGAAATTTAGAATTTTAGCGATAAGAAAACTCATAGAGAACTAAGATTTCAAAAGAATCTTTTTATTCAATTTTCAGATGATGAAATTCATTCTAATACATTCATTTTATTCGATTATAGTATTGTACTATTCTAGCTAGATTTTCCAGCTTGCCAAAACTAACTTCAACGGTTTTGAATGCAGGTAATCTAGTGTGTGACCTCCTCTTAATTTGCTGGGTCATTTTTCTCTTCAGGTCTGTTTCCTTGATATGCTTTTATGACATCTGGACTCTTTTTATCCATCCATATTCTCTCTCTCTCTCTTCTTTTTCGTCGTGCATGACATTGAGATAAAATAAAAGTAATTAATCATATTCATATTTAATGCAGTTTAAATTTTTTTGATTTACTTTTATAATTTAGCAGTGAATATTGTTGCGGAAGATGGCTATCGGATAAAGTAAAAATTTAACTGATAATTTGAGAAAATAAAAATTGAAGATAAAAGAGACACAAAATTTACGTGGAAAACCCCTAAATAATTTAGGGTAAAAACCACGGGAAACGATAGAAGAATTTCACTATGAGAAAATAGGAATTGCAACTTCTCTCTATCTACCAAGGAGAAAACAATGATAATTCTCTCTTGATAAAAAGGAGAAAAACAACTCTCAAGAAACTCTCTAAATTCTTTAGTATTGAGAGAAAGCTAGAATGTTTTGGGATGATTTTGAATCTAAATGAGCTAGGGTATTTATAGTTGAAGCTTAAGGACTAATTTGTAAATACCCTAAATTACAATGACCAAATGTGATTATCCCATTATCCAAAATTCAACTAAAATTGGTTGTCTTGCACCGAAATTAAGTGTTGCCAAAATCCCACCGAAAAGTGATTGGCCACTTGTTTAATTTTCAAAAAATATATGCATTAAGTTAAACGAAGTACATCCCGCTATGCTCGTGTAGATGTTAGTAGTGCTAGCGTCTCAGATTGTGGAAAGTACGTGGACCATGCCAGGGCAGGGACTGCACAATGCTACTAAGGGCTCAGCTTTAGGCATGGTGAGTCCACGCATAAATCTGACATGCTACTAAGGGCGTGGACCACTTTTCTACCTATATTAGCTCCGAGACATGCTCGTCTTCCAACACCAAAGGGAAAAAAATTATGCCCTTCAGGTTCACCACCTTTGAATCTCTGGCATAAATCTATTGGCGTCCTCACAAAGCTTGGGGTCTCTTTGGCTAGTCCACGCATTGACAAATAACATTGTTCCACGTGGAACGTTATAACCACAAACAATGGAATCTTCTGATGATTCATGTGGTAAGAGCAATGGGGTTGGTGGAAATAATCTCATACTTTCAGAAATTATGGATTGTAAATAATTCAACTTCGGAAAGTCTGCTTCTTAAAAAGTTTGTTTTCTCCAACTTCGGCATCTATTTCAGTCCACGCTTTATACAGGACTCTAGGATGATTAAGAAGAAGTGACATAGTCCATTGTATGATAGTGGATGAAGGTTCAGTCCCAGTACCTATCATTGTCTATTGACAAGTTTCAAAGACCCAGAAATTTAAAAATCTAGAGATAAAAACTGTGTATATAAAATTTAATCTTCCGAAGAATTTTTCGAATTTACAAAAATCATTTTATATATATATTAAACAAATACTAATTTTCAATATTTAAATTTATATCCGAGTATGCAAGATAAAATATTTCTTTGAGAAATGAGCAAAGTAAAGAATCGCAGGCTTCAACGTACTACTGTGAAGTGGATTCGACCCCTTACTATTGCAGAAGACGACTATCGGATAGAGCAAAATCGTAACTGATAATTTGAGAAAATAAAAATGAAGATAAAAGAGACACAAAATTTATATGGAAAACTCCTAAATAATATAGGGTAAAAACAATGGGCAACGGTAGAAGAATTTCACTATGAGAAAATAGGAATTACAACTTCTCTTTACTACCAAGGAGAAAAAATAATAACTCTCTCTTGATAAAAAGGAGAAAACAACTCTCAATAAACTCTCTAAATTCTCTCTAGTATTGGAAGAAAGCTAGAATGCTTTGGGATGGTTTTGAAGCTAAATGAGCTAGGGTATTTATAGTTGAAACTTAAGGACTAATCTTGTATATACCCTAAAGTACAATGACTAATTTTAAAAAATTTACCATACAAAAAATCAACAAAAATGTGTTGCCACCGAATTCACGCACATTGGAGCTGCCAAATTTGAAAATAAAATTTGCAGCAAAGTATGACTTTTATTTTTTCAACAATCTCCCACTTGGAGATTTGATTTGAACAATCATATCTTCACACCATTCTTTCTACATTGTACCTTCTTGTTGCTTATGTCTCTAACATGCCACAAGAGGATCTACACCAGCTAAATTTATCATCATTGATTGTCTTCGTCATGAAATCTGTTATGTTGTCTTTGGTATGGATCTTTTGCATATCTACAGTTCATTCTTCCATCTTTTCATGAATAAAATGGTATTGAACTCGTATGTGCTTTGTCCTTGAATGAAATGCTAAATTTCTTGCTAGATGCAAGGCGCTTTGACTGTCACAAAACAGAGAGACATACTCTTGATTGTGCCCAAGCTCCTCCAATAGCATCTTCAACCAAATTGCTTCTTTACTGGCTTGTGTAGGTGCTACATATTTTGCCTCTGTTGTGGATGAAGCCACAACTAACTATAATTTTAAAACCCAACTTACAGCTCCACCAGCAACTTTGAACACATATCCTGTAGTAGATTTGCTTTTATCCAAATCCCCTGCATAGTCAGAATCAACATACCCATTGATAAGTAAATTTGATCCTCCGTAACATAATGCAACATTTGAGGTCCCTTTGATGTATCTCAGGATCCTCTTTACTATATTCCAATGCTCTTTGTCTGGATTCGCCATGTACCGACTAACCACTCTCACTGCTTGTGCAATGTCTGGTCTTGTGCATATCATAGCGAACATTAAACTTCCCATTGCTGATGCATACGGTACTCGAGACATCTTCATCCTCTCTACTTCACTGATAGGACTCATATTGGAGGATAATTTGAAGTTAATAGAAAGAGGGGTAGAAATTGGCTTATAATCTTGCATGCTGAATCATGACAAAATATTCTTCAAGTAATTCTTTTGTGAAAGCCAAATCTTCCTATTACTTCTGTCTGTGTGAATTTACATCCCTATAATCTTTTTTGCTGATCCCAAGTCCTTCATTTCA